CCCCCATTGAGGAGGGCACTTGTTGGGATGAGCACTGCCTGTTGTATGGAAACCAATTTGACAATAAATTATATTAAAAAAAAAAAAAAGTTTCCCTGGAGGGTCCCTGTGTGTTTCAGTCAATTAAGTGTGGGACTTCAACTCAGGTCATGATCGCTCAGCTTGTGGGTTTGGGCCCCGCATCGGCCTCTGTGCCAACAGCTTGGAGCCTAGCCTGCTTGGGATTCTGTGTCTCCCTCTTTCTCTGCCTCTCCCCCCCGCCCCCCGGAGCTCTCTGTGTCTCTCAAAAATTAAAAAAATTAAAAAAATTTTTTAAATACTGTTTCCCTCTCTTATCTTTCTGTACAGCACAGTGGTAAGCACAAAGCAAACAATTTACAGACACTATATTGATCTTTAAGTCCATGGGGACCTGTAGGAGGAGTCCAGCCAGAGCTGTATCTCCCTTTACAAGATGCAAGGATACTTCTTTCTTCATGAAGCCTTCTCCTATCCATACAAGCAATTGCCTGCCCCACCCCCGCCATGCTACCACTATCCCTCCCTCTCTCTCTCCATCACACACACACACACACACACACACACACACACACACACACACACACTATTATAAAACTCATCACAACTCGGGGCGCCTGGGTGGCGCAGTCGGTTGAGCGTCCGACTTCAGCCAGGTCATGATCTCGCGGTCCGTGAGTTCGAGCCCCGCGTCAGGTTCTGGGCTGACGGCTCAGAGCCTGGAGCCTGTTTCCGATTCTGTGTCTCCCTCTCTCTCTGCCCCTGCCCCGTTCATGCTCTGTCTCTCTCTGTCCCAAAAATAAATAAACGTTGAAAAAAAAATTAAAAAAAAAACAACAAACAAACAAAAAACTCATCACAACTATTCGTTCACGTGGCTACCACTCCCTCACTCTGGGAGCAGCTTAAACTAGAACTCTGACACGTTCTACAGCATGTGAAACAGCTCCTCTCACAAAACCGGCGATCAATAAAGAACTGAGACTGACAACAATAACAGCAACCACCATTTCCCCATAAACGGGTGCTCCGGCGCTTCACTCTCATTATCCTAATCCTCACAACCATTTATAGGAGAGAAAAGGAAACTGACACAAGAGCTTATTTAAACGACCTGCCCGAGGCCCTGCTTCTAAAGACAGCTCCAACTGGATTAATCTGCACCAAGAATTCGTGATCAGTTCCCTACCAGGGCAGAAGGACGGAGAGATGGCGTCTCGGGAAGGGGGGCAGCCTGCCCAAGCCTCACTGCTTAACGTGCAGAGCCAGGACCGTATCCCAGGTGGACGGACCCCAGCTCAGGGCACCCGCGGAGGGCCCGAGAGGGAGGCGACACCTCCCGCCACCCTCGCCATCGCCACCCCTCGCTTCTGCCTTACCTGGATGTCCGACCCAGCTCTCTCTGGCTGCACCCGGACTGCCCCCACCCGGACCCCAACTCCTTCCTCAACTCCCTTCTCTAGTCGCTGAAACCGCGAGCGCGGGCTCTCGCGTCATCAGCCGGCGCCGGCGAACGGTCACATGACGCCCCGCCCTGCTCTCCGCCCCTCTGATCATGTGACCGCCAGGGGAGTCAGAGGCGGAAGCGGGGGTCCCGCAGGCTGGCGATCGAGGGCTGCGTCTAGAAGGGGACGCGTGCGGAGAGGGCGGCGTGGGGACCCAGGTGCCAACCCAGTCCGCGATCGCCGGCCCTGCACGTGCGCCCTGGCGTGGCCCGGGTGACAGGTGAGTTGGGGCGGGACGCGCCCTCGGTTCGGTCTCCCGGCCCCTCCCCAGCCCCTGGCCGGGCCGCGCTGGCCGAAGAGGCGTCTGCGGCGTGCGGTGCGGTCTCGATGCGGAGCCCGGCTTGGAGGACTGAGGGGCCTCCTGGGGCGGTGCCGCAGTCCAGGCTCCTCATCCCCACTTAGGTGGACAGAATTTTCCACGCCGCCTGGGCAAAGCTTGGCCCGCATCTGTACCTTCCAAGTTTCCAGGAGCCGTGCTGGGTAGACAGTGTTATCCCTCCGTTTGCCCTCGAGAAAATTGAGTGGTTCGCGAAGTCTCGTAGAGTCTGATGGACCCGGGTTTGAATTCTGGTAATGCCGTGGGCTGCGAGTTGGAGCAAGTCATTGTTGCTTTGCTTTCTGCACCTTAATTCCCTCACCTGTGTCATGCTGGTGCCAAAGTTCTTTGCATTTCTCAAAACAGTTCCAAGGGCCCTGACTGGTTTATGGTCGCACGGTCGAAAACATAAGTCACAGAGCTGGTAATGGAGCTGGGTGTCCCAATTCCAAATGCACGGAGCTTACTCCAACATAGGTGATGGAGTCAGGGGAAGGAACGGAGAGGTCTTACTGGCCCACGACCAGGAGCACCTCCCGTTTCTCTTTCTCCTGTCCCTTCCAGGATTTATGAATGGGACTAGAGCGATCAGACTCATTTTAGAACTTTTCTGGAAGAGATTTGTCGGTCACTTTTATCTTGGTCAACAACCATTATATTTTGTTTCTGATAATGGATAGGTGGAGACCAGTGCTTCCTTTTTTATGGAACTGAGATCTTATGAAAGGATAAAAATAGACCTGTGTTCTTTTGTCCTCTGAGTAGGGCAAACAGCGGTTTGTCCCCGGACAATTTTATTTCCTTCAGAATTCAGTTCTGTACTTACTCGGTAATTGGTATAATGATGCCATGCTGCATTCTTGAAACATGTTGTCTGCTGTCTAGGATTACTTTCCGAACTGTAAACCACAGTTCCATACTAAATTCTATTTTTTTAACATTTAAAAAGTCATTTATGAGTATATCTAGTACATATTATTCATTCTAGTCTAAACACTCACTTTCAATCCCTCATGTGTTTATACACACAAATTTACCAAATATACACACATATTTACCATTACTAGTCATTTCAGGATGGTTACTTTTGCATAAAGCTAAACATGATGTAAATTTCAAATAATTTTTTAATTTTATTTTTTAATATAATGTATTGTCAAATTGACTTACTTATAACACCCTGTGCTCATCCCAACAAGTGCCCTCCTCAATGCCCATCACCCATTTTCCCCTCTGCCCCCAACCTCCCCCCCCAACACTAAATTCTTAAAAATAAAGTTACAGCTACTTTTTGGGTGCTTTATAAAAGAAAATTAGGAAATTGAGTGGGATCTCCGGTTTCATTTCATGCCAAATAGTAATGCAGCATATACTGAGAAAAACTGGTCTTTATGAATTTTCTTCATCTCTAGCAGCAAAAGAACCACTGAATAGAAGATTCAATATGGGTTTTTCTGCAGTGTTTATTTGCACCTCACTCTAGAGTGATTTTTTAAAAATCTCAACCAAGTCTTAGCACCTTCTATAAAGCCACATAATTCTGAAATCACTGCAACATGATTAGGCATCTTTAATGTTGGTTCTTAGACTCTGTTCTTTAGGGCAAGTGTTTCAGCCAACCTTGGGGTATTTACCAAATCATGTAACCAAATAATATCTTGAATGTTGCCAACAGTGTAAGGATTTAAGGATTACAATAAGAAGCAGATACACAAAAGTCTTGACATGTCATTATCCCAGGCCTAAGCTAACCTGACCATGTGCATGCAGGTGCTGAGTGTATCTGTTCATCCTTTTTTTTTTTTTTTTTTTTTTTGCTTGGGCAGGGAAGGGAAGAAGGCAGGTAATCGTGTTTTGCTTTAAAGATGCTTTCTCCATGGTCCCATTGTCTGGCCTGTGTTGGTATCCAGAATCTGGTTGCAGTTACAGCAGTGAAACATAGCTTGTCCACCTTGCAGTTGTGTCTGGAGTTTCTTCCTGCTTAGACCTGGTATCCTCAGACCTTAGATCTTTCTGGGTTAGTTTGGTGGTCTTCAGAGGACTTCAGTGACTTTTTCTTTCTTCCCCCCCCCCCCCATTTGCCATTATTTCCTCCTTTTTCTTGTCTCATTTTCCCAGCCACACCCATTCAGTGCAAAAAAAATGGGGTGAAATTGGGCCGCCTGGCTGGCTCAGTCAGTAGAGCATGTGACTGTTGATCTTGGGGTGAGTTGGAGCCCCACGCTAAGGGTAGAGTTTACTTTGAAAGAGGTGGAATGTGGGGCGCCTGGGTGGCTCAGTCCGTTGAGCGGCCGACTTCGGCTCAGGTCATGATCTCGCGGTCCGTGAGTTCGTTCGAGCCCCGCGTCGGACTCTGTGCTGACAGCTCAGAGCCTGGAGCTTGTTTCGGATTCTGTGTCTCCCTCTCTCTGACCCTCCCCCATTCATGCTCTGTCTCTCTCTGTCTCAAAAATAAATAAACGTTAAAAAAAAATTAAAAAAAGAGGTGGAATGAAATTATCTGAAATTCAGCCTATTAGAGATCAGTATGCCTTCACAAGTAAACATCATGAGAAAATGAAAGGGCTTGTTAATAATTTATGCCTTAATGTATATTAAAGGATACCCTCATTGGAGAGAGTTCTAGACAACTGTAATGGCTTCTTAGCAGTCCCTGCTCTTGGAGCAACCCCATCCACTTCCTCTGATCTGTGCTTCTATCCTTTGCTCACTCTGCACCAGCCACATCAGCCACTTTGCTGTTCCCGGAACACATCTAGTGCATTGCTGACCTGGGGCCTCTGCATTTACTTGTAAATCCTGCCTGGAATGCCCTTCTCCCAGATCATCACTTATTGTAAAATAACAAACTACCCCAGCACCTAGTGGCTAAGACAAAAGACATTTATTGTCTTACAGTTTCTGTGGTCAGGAATCAGTTGGTGTGGCTTAGCTGGGTGCGTTCGGCTGAGGGGCTCTTGGGAGGTTGCAGCCTAGCTGTGAATAGATGCTGTCATCTGAAGGCTCAGCTCGGTTTGTGGGGGGGGAGTCCCTTTTCAGGCTCATTCAGGTGCTTGTTGGGAAGCCTCTCACTCCCTCATCACAGGGCTCTCTTACAACATGACAGTTTGCTTTCTCCCAGAGCAAACAAGCTAGGGAACGCGCCCCAGCCAGAAGTCACAGGTTTTTTGCAATCTAATCTGAGAAGTGATATCTTTTACATCTACCATATTCTGTTCTTTAAGAGATAGGAAGCCACACTCAAGGAGAGGGGCCTCCACAGGGCATGAATAAGGGGAAGGAGGGCCTCGGGGACTGTCTTAGGGGCTTCTGACAACACCCAGATACCCTTACTGCTTGCTGCCTCACTTCCTTCTGGTCCCTGCTCAAATATCTTATCAGAGAGGCTTTCACAAACTAAAACAGCACACACTCCATCTCTTTATCATGCTTTTTCCTTCCCAGCAATGATCACAGGCTGATACCTAATGTATTTATTTGTTTATTGTCTCTTCCCCACTCCCAATAGTATGCAGGCTTTATGAGAGAGCGCAGGAACTTAGTTTTGTTCACTGAAGTAGCCTCAGGTCCTAAAACAGTGCTTGGCACATAGTAGGCACTAGATGCCTATTTACTGAATGAATGAATCTGTAGCATTAGGAATGCTTCCACCTACAAATAATCCCAAAGCCAACTAGCAGTAAATAAAGCATAAAAACAGTTCATTTTACAAGGATTACAGAGATAGGTGGTGCTACAGTTGAATCAATGAGTCAGTCACCTCAACAAGAATTTAGAGTCTTTCTTTCCTTCCAAAGCACAATCTGCAGGCTTGGGGCCTTTTTTCTCTTAAGCTCATCACCTCATGGTCTCAAGGTGGCTATTGAAACTTCAGACAAGACATGTTCATTGGGCCACATTCAAAGACAAGAAGAAGAGGGATAGAGGAAAGAGAGAAATTTCATGTGCTTCTCTCCTTGTCGCAGGAGGGGAAAAAAAATTTCCTATCAGGTCTGCCGTAGACTACCTCTTACGCCTATTTGGTCGAAACTGAGTCACACGTGTAGCCTAGGTTTGGGGGCAATGAGAAAATAAGGATCCACCTGTTCTGTCCTCTATAGGAAAAAAGGGAAAGGAGGAAGGGAATTATTGTTGGAGAGTCAACAGCATCCTAGGAAATGAAGACGTTTCTAAATGCTGAATCAATAAGAAGAGACTTATAAGAGGAAAAAAGAAAACCTTTAAGGGTTACACAAAAGACAACTACACGAGGTAGCTCAGCGCGAGTGAACTTTGAAAATATGTGACAAGGGTTGGGGAATGTTCTGCTGGGGCTGCAGAGGAAGCCCTCTCCTGTCCAAAGTCTTCCCACATTCTGGTTTTGCGTACAGTGAAGTCCTCACTATTTTACTGTTTACTTTTTGACTCCCTGCAGCCAGAAGATTACATATGAACGTAAACATTGGCATGGATATAAAAATGGTAACGATCACTTGTAAGATGAGTTCCCTTGCAGATATTCATGTACTAAAGAGTCTCTTGGGCTGAATTCTTGTTTTTGGTGGTCACTCTTCTTAATGCTAATGTCGTGTCGATAGGACACAGTGCCAGTGCAAATGTTAGGAAGTACACAAGCCTTCACGAAGTTGAAAAATAATTCAGGCCTGCATGAAGCTGACCCAATGATGACTTAGCTAAAGTAACAAGTAGAGGAGAGCAATACAGCGAAGATGATGACAAAACTAACACTTTCAAAGATAATGATTTGAAAAAAAGAGTTGGAAGAGGCCTTTGGGAAAATGAATGCTGCCTTGAAACATTTTTTTTGTTGTTGCAAAAATTACCTTTTTCTAAGATCATGCTATGAAAGTCAGCTATGAAGTACAAAATATGTATTATCAAAATTACAATTTGGTGAGATCAACTTTCAGCGCATTCTTGGTATGTCCCTTGAGTTAGTACGTCCTTGTTGCAACTTTACTCTGAATTGGGGGTAAGTACGGAACTTACTTTCATACGTTTTAATTACATCATTCCGAGATATCTTTCTAATCAAAACTTTTCCACCGCTCAGTATGAAACATTTGTCTCTACTCGCGTCACTCAGGAGTATTTCTCAGGTATGTCTTACCCTTGATAACAAGGGCCTCCTGTGTTTTCCGTATGAGAAACACTTTTTTTCAAGGTGGCTCCCTCACCTAATTCGAGTGGATTTGAGGCACAGTTCTCTTTTCCAGAGGTAAAACAAGCGTTAGCAAAGGTAAGACAACTCCCGTAAGGACAATTTAATAATCAGTGCCCAACATAGGGCACATTGGAACCACGATGCTCACTGGCTCCTCCCAGCTGCATCAGGTCCTTTCTCACGGGGAGAAGTGAATAAAGGATTGAAAACAGGCCAAGGGTGTTCACTTAGCAAAGTCCATCCACATGGAACACCGGGAGGAGTGGACAATAAAGGCCCTTCCCTCATGTCGGAACTCATGCATGTGTTACATATGCTCCCTTTAAAAATGGAGAATTTTTTTTTTTTATACTTTTCTTTTGGGATACAGGTCCTTTAATGGAGCAGCCAATCTGTCAGCAGACCTGGTTTCATCTAATGATTTACAGACCTCAGCTCTGAAGCCACTGAAACATTCCTCCCGGCCAGGCACTCATCCGCACGATGTTGGACTTCCTAGCTGAGAACAACCTGTGTGGCCAGGCAATCCTAAGGATTGTTTCCTGTGGTAATGCCATCATTGCTGAACTTCTGAGGCTCTCGGAGTTTATCCCTGCTGTGTTCAGGTTTAAAGACCGAGCCGATCTACAGAAATATGGAGATATCATCTTTGATTTCAGCTATTTTAAGGTAACCTTCCTCCATAGCATTTTGAACGCTATCTTTCCTACAAAAGCACGCTTTCTCTGGGAAGCGTGGGACCCTGAGAGGCTAAGTAATTATGGAGAAACAGTTAAAGAGGAAAGCTTTTATACCACATTTAGCGTCAGCTAACTAATTTGAAAATAATATAAAGGTGTTGTGTGGAAGCCCTAACATAACCTAATCACACTTTTAAAAAGATAACTTTGGTGAAATGTATTTTACAGTGAAGGACCCCACACTTAAAAGCTTGCCGATCATGGTTACAATCCAACTTTGTTTCTTTCAAGGGGATTCCGTATCTAGGCGTCTGTTTTCTCTGTTACTTTCTGTTGCTCCTCTTTCAATTTCTCATCTCCTTTTTCAAGCATAGGAACACATTTTTAAAAGACTGTTTAGAAACTGTTACCAACATGGGGCGCCTGGGTGGCTCAGTCGGTTAAGCCGCCGACTTCGGCTCAGGTCACGATCTCGCGGTCCGTGAGTTCAAGCCCCGCGTCGGGCTGTGTGCTGACAGCTCGGAGCCTGCTTCAGATTCTGTGTCTCCCTCTGCCCCTCCCCCGTTCATGCTCTGTCTCCCTCTGTCTCAAAAATAAATAAACGTTAAAAAAAAAAAGATTAAAAAAAGAAAATGTTACCAACAAGTATGCTTTTGTTGACGTTTCACATGAATGTGTTTTTCTTCTTAGGGTCCAGAGTTATGGGAAAGCAAGCTGGAAGCTAAGCCAGAGCTACAGGATTTAGATGAAGAGTTTCGTGAAAACCACATAGAAATTGTGACCAGATTTTATTTAGCCTTTCAGAGTGTGCATAAATATATTGTAGACCTAAACAGGTATTAATTCAGTAATAGCTTATTCTGGGGGTAAATAGTGGAAAAGGAACGTGCCAGAGCGTGCACGCCTTCCTGAGTTCCTCTCCTACTGTGCGTGATTGTCTTTTCCTTCCAGTCGCACTTGTCACCTTTAGTGTTTTAGAGCGTTGTTATGCTTTCCTGCTCTTGTGAAGCAGTACCATAACCTCGGCTTGTACTGAGTCATGGCTTTCTTTTCTTTTTTTTTTCCTCATTGAGGCATAGTCCACGCATAATGTTTACATTGGTCTCAGGTGTGCAGCATAGTGATCTGGTAGCTCTGTAAGTTCTGCTGTGCCCACAAGTAGCCACCGTCTGTCGCCGTGCAGCACCCCCTTCACCCCTGGGACTCCATAACTGGAAGCCTGTACCTCCCTCGCCCCTTCCCCCATTTTGCCCACCCAGCCCCCAACCCATCCCACTCCCTCTGGCAGCCGTCAGTTTGTTCTCTGTATTAAGCCATGTGGCTCTCCATCCTGTAGTTTATGATCATATTTTAGCATCTTCTTTAGGAGAAGTGGAGAAAAAGCTTATTTTTATAGCATTAGTAACCGTAGCCTGCCATCTCATCCCTAACTACACAGTATTTTCTTCCCTTCAGCCCTTAAGAATTCATTACTCAGCAGTTTTTAAACTATTCCATGTCTTTATAACGTTACTTCTAAGATACTTATGATTCATAAATCGGGACTAGAGACGGTTCTTTCTGCTTAGAGTAGCCAGTGTTAGCAACCTGTGGCCCTAACCACTGGGAGTTCCATTTCACGAGTCCATTCTTAAAGAGCATGAAGGGCCACAAACGTTTGAAGGCCAGAATGTCTGGTGTCTTGTCTTATCTTTTAAAAATCTTTATATTCCTTCTTCAAAAGTGGTCGTTTTCATTAGAATGAATAACTTGCCCTGGGGTTTCATTTCTAGATATCTAGATGATCTCAATGAAGGTGTGTATATTCAGCAAACCTTAGAAACTGTGCTCCTCAATGAAGATGGAAAACAGCTTCTAGTAAGTAATAGTAGCCACTTAAAATAGAAAGTCAAGAATGTCAACTTTTTTCCCATACGTCCCAAACACATACAAAGTACCCTTCTTTAAAGGGAAGCAAATAAACTGACAGTTCTCTTCTAATCAACAATATCTGAATTTAGAACATAGTAGACTGAACACAATTACAAGTGAGTGGAAGTCATGGGATGGTTGTGAACTTCCTCAGCGCAGTCCTATCTTCTTTATCTTCTGCATCCCAGACCTGTAGCCTTGGAAACTAGTACGTGATAGTCACTTAAGAAAAGTTCATTAAACAGGTAAAGGGCTTAGAAGTATTCATAATGTTGGGACTCCATTTGGGGCCCCAAGCGAAATACCAAAAATAGGCCAATTGAAAGGTAATCACTGCAAATTAAAATTTATTTCCCATAAATTTTTCAAAGCCCATTCTGTACAGAAGGTGAGAGCCTTTGGGAAAATCTGCATTCTCCTTGTAATATGAAGCCTTTAGGAGGAATAGGAACAAAGTGATTCTTTTTAACCCTCGTCAACTTCATTCCATAAGAACGTAGCTCCTGTGAGTTGGGCCATTGTCTTTCTCTCTTCATAGTGTGAAGCACTGTACTTGTACGGAGTCATGCTGCTGGTTATCGACCAAAAGATCGAAGGAGAGGTCCGAGAGAGAATGCTGGTTTCCTACTATCGATACAGGTATCCCAGGGCTGGGACCGCACCCCCCCAAAAGCACTGCTATTGGTAAAATGAAGTAGTTTCTGTACTACTTTCGTCGTGAATGGCAGCGGTACGATCTAGAATGAAAGGCGTGAGATTCTTATTTCTTCTGAACGTAATGGAGAAATGTAACAATTACTCTATATTTGTGTCATTACCATGATAATAGATTATATATCATGTAATCTATATATTACACATAAAGGAGCCTATGTGTTTTAGATTGTTAGAGATACATAGATCATCATGTCCACAATAGTACCTTAGTTTTTTTTTTTTTTTTTTAAAAGGAATCTGAATTTTCTTCATCTTAAAGGTAAATTTGGGAATGTTGGAAGTCTAATGAATGTTTTTTTTTTTTTTAACGTTTTTAAATATTACACCTTGGCAGATGTAGGGACATGAATAAATTTTCTGTTGTCATTTTTGGTTTGATGAGTTTGGAAAGCTATTTCTCAGAGTTAGGTGGGAAGTGAATTCTCACCTGAATATATGTGGAAACAAAACAACAGCACATATCACAATCACGTGTTTCGTATGTCTGTCCAGAACTGTGACTTTAAGGGGTAGGGTCTTTAAGTCAGAAGCCACCTTAAAGTTCTATAATTCCAGTATCTACCACACAGATTTCAACGTGCTGAGTTAATGAGTCAAAACCTGGATGTAAGGTCAATATTAGAAAAAGTCAAGGGGTGCCTGGGTGGCTTAGTCAGTTAAGCGACTAACTCTTAGAGATTTCAGCTCAGGTCATGATCTCATGGTCTGTGAGTTCGAGCCCAACATCAGGCAGAGCCTGCTTCAGATTCTCTCTCTCTCTCTCTCTCTCTCTCTCTCTCTCTCTGCCTCTTCAACACGTGCATGCTCTCTCTGTCTCTCAAAATAAATATATGAACTTTAAAAAAATAAGAGAAAAAGTCAAGATTTGGGAAGAAACAAATAATAGGCAGGAATCAGCAATGTGAGCTGAAGATGTGCAGACTGGAATTAACATTCTTTTTTTAAACATTTATTTATTTATTTTTGAAAGAGAGCACGCTCAGGGGAGGGGCAGAGAGAGAATCTCAAGCAGGCTCCACGGTGTCAATGCAGAGCTTGATATGGTTCTCAAACTCATGAACCATGAGCATGTCCTGAGCCAAAACCAAGAGTCGGACACTTAACCGACTGAGCCACCCAGGCGCCCCTAGAATTCACATTCTTAAACTTACAAATTGGGACAAAATAAATAGGACAAAGGGGCAGATCCTCAGCACAAAGGGACTGTTGGGGACATCATCTTTTCAGCGACACCTGCTACTGCTGCCCCTTAGCAGCCCCTGCTACTGCTGCCCCTTCATCGCGGGCTGCTCAACTAGCCCATGTACTTTAGCTTCATCAGTATGTGGGGAGAGTGTCCGCAGCAGACATAATTCATTCACATCAGTTTGACCATGAGGTGTTTTGTCATCCATGTTTTTAAAAATGAACTTTGAAATTTTTTTTAATGTTTACTTACTATTTTTGAGAGAGAGACAGCATGAGCAGGGGAGGGGCAGAGAGAGAGAGGGAGACACAGAATCTGGAACAGGCTCCGGGCTCTCAGCTGTCAGCAGAGAGCCTGACGCAGGGCTCAAACCCGTGAACCGTGAGATCATGACCTGAGCCGAAGTCGCACTCTTAAGTGACTGAGCCACCCAGGCACCCTTTAAAAATGAACTTTGAATGCCCTTGTGTATATTTCCAAAAGTACCTGGAAAACCAAAAATAATAAATGACATAAAGAAGGAGAAAAAAGGGTTTGCTCATCAAGGCCAGCTTTAACAATTCTGCTTTGTCCTTTTGGGTACAACAGTGAATTCATTAGAATGTGAGGACCCATTACCGAAGTGACCCTGAACAATCGCCAAGTCAGAGTTGTGGGAAAGGAGATTCTTGTATCAAATAGGAGGTCATCCTCAAGTCTAAGATTCTTTGAGTCTGAGGATTACCACTCCACACCACCCTGAAAATCACAGATGTTTTGATTCAATCTCTGTAGAAGGTACACCTTGCCAAGGGGAAAAAAAAAAACAAAAAACGATGATTATATATCCCACTTTATGTTGACATAATCTTTTAAAATTATTTTTTAACCGGGGCGCTTTCATTCGGTTAAGCATCTGACTTCGGCCCAGGTCATGATCTCATGGTTCATGGATTTGAGCCCCATGTTGGGCTCTGTGCTGACAGCTCAAAGCCTGGAGCCTGCTTCAGATTCTGTGTTTCCCTTTCTCTCTCTCTCTCTCTCAAAAATAAATAAACATTACAAAAATTTCTTTAACTATTTTTTAACTTATGAAATGTTGGTACTGGATCACGTTCTTTATCTGCAACTCTGAAATCCAAAGAGCTCTCAAAAAAAATATATGCATGTCTACACACACATGCGTGCACATAGTAACTCCCCTGGCAGCAAACTCTGATCTCACCTGAAGCCATTTGGAGTCAAAACCTGATCAGTCCAGATCGGGGGCTATAGATGGTCCTTATTTATCTCATTTGCATGACAATTCATAAATTTTGCTGCAGAAATATTAACGTGTGCTGATCACATAATGCTAATTGAGACCCTACTTAAAGTGTTGTATACGATCTACATGCCATGTTAGTTTCTTACATTTGAAAAACGCAGTATTCTGAAACAAATCCAGCCCTAAAGATTTTAGACAAGGGATTGTGGACCTCAACTTAGAACTAACTATACATACATGTAAGAATCCGTCTGGTAAGTTTGCTATAATAAGCTTTTTGAAAATGCAATTGTGAATCTCCGGGGACATAGACTGACCAGGAGTCTTATGTAAAACTACATAAAGTCAAGTTATGATGAAATTCTGCTCTTTTGGACTTTTGAGTTTCTAAGCTGTGTGGTTTGTTTGGCCCTTTGTTTCCCATTGTGAACGTGGTTCAGCGCTGCTCGATCTGCTGATTCAAACATGGATGATATTTGTAAGCTGCTACGAAGTACAGGTTATTCCAGCCAACCAGGAGCCAAAAGACCACCCAACTATCCTGAGAGTTATTTCCGGAGAGTGCCTATCAATGAAGCCTTCATCAGTATGGTCATTGGTCGACTGAGATCTGATGATATTTACAACCAGGTGGGGATCAAATCTACCAACATCTTCGTTGTTTGAAAGATTGATTTCACTTTCCTCCTCAATTACTCCTTCCCTTCCTTATTCCTCAGAAGAACAAAAGCACCTAAAAAAGCCCAAACTTTTTGAGGTCTACTATAGTTTGGTAGAGGAAAAAGGGATAGTAATTTGGGAAGAATTTGAGATTTCAGGGAGAGGATGGGATTTGAACTATATTTGGAAAAAAGATCATTCTCTCAGCCATTCATTCAACATAGAGTTACTGAGTGTGTTACATGCCTGTCCACAAGCTGGGTGCTGGGAGGCCATCACTGACAAAGACAGGTCATGGTCCCTGCCCATAATGAGCTTGTAGCTGAGGAAAGAAGACAGACAACTAAAGGAATTACTGTAAAGCAAGGTGAGTGATAGCTTAGGGGAAACACAGGGTGCCACGGAGCGTACAACAGGGGCAACAGATTGCAGCAGGTGGCGAAGGGGACGTGAGGACACTACGAGAAGGCAGCTTGAGCAGGGCCGTGAAGACCCTGTAACATTTATAAGTTACTTCCCTTTCCTCTCCAGTATGTGTATCGCTCATGTAAGAGGGCACCAAGGAAAATTACCACGTGACTTCAATTTCCTGAAGAAAACATAATTTTAGGGGCACCTGACTGGCTCAGTCAATAGAGCATGTGATGCTTGACCTCAGGGCTGTGAATTCAAGCCCCCACATTGCATGTGGAGATTACCTCAAAATAAAATCTTAAAAAACAACAACAACAACAAAACAAAAAGATACATAATTTTATGTATCAGGTATTTTTCTTACCAAAGAATTGGACCCGTAACAGCCGGGTATTGTTTATCACAGAGCACAGCTGCCCTACCCAGTTCTGCAAGTACCCGGTTAGTTTTCTTTATGAATATTGTAAGTATCAATAAAAGAGGTTTGTGTGTGTGTTTTAAAAACAGCTCAAAATCAGAAGCCACCTGCAGATACTGGGTCTTCATAATTTGTTGCCATTTATTGAGAATTCGGTACCAACCAGAATCATAGTTGATTTTCTCCTGAACTGTTCTCTCTCTCCTCAGAACAGTCCTGCAGAGTGGACAACATTATCCTCATGTTGCTGTTGAGAAAAATAAGGCTTAGGGAGCTTCATAATTTTTCACAGGGTCATGTAACTAAGTATCAGAACCCGAATTTGAACTTGGGTCTATATGACTTCAGGGGCCATGCTGCTTCTCACTGCCTGTCTTTACCCCTTCTGCCTCGTATGGGGTCCATCTTGTCCGTGTCTCTAGGCAGTGAGTTTCAGTTTTCTCTTGCCCCACGACCGTACTAACACAGGGCCTCGGCTGTGGTATGCTGTGTACCCACCCCACTCGCTGCCCGGCACCTGCCCCGTCCCTGGTCATGGTGGGTTGGACGGGGGCAGTCACTTGACCCAGGACGGATCGGATTCCCTGTTAGGTGATTTGGAATGGGGCCCCAGAAACATCATCTGCACGTGGGTTTACTCCTCACACGCAAAATTTGGAATTTGGGGGCAGCCCCATTCTCCCACGTGTAAGATGAGCGGAGCAAGGGAGAAGGGGCAAACACATCAAGGGGTGGAAACGGTGAAGGCTTTGTGGCCCACAGCTCCAGACCCTTCCTGTAGCCCGGCCACGCTCCTGCCTGGGGGTTCCCTGCCACGTTGCTGTGTCCACCCTCGTAGCAATTTCCTCCCTTTGTGTTTGTGGTCCTCGAGGTGACGCGTACTGTGTGCAGCCAGGTCACCGACCCATGTGGTGACGGAGCCCTGGGATGCACCAGCACCTGAAAGGCAGGCAGTGGAACACCCAGCAAAGCAGGGCAACAGGGGTGGCGTCTGTGAACCTTGAGAGAACTGAAGTGAGAGTGTGAAACAGAGGCTGTTGGAGCAGCGTGATTGTGAGGTGACGGGTGACTTGGAGAGATCATAGGTGATGGTGCAGGGCACGTTTCAGGGAGCTGTAGAATGAACAGGAAGTGAGAAAATGGGGACAGGGTGTAGGGTCTGTCAGTTCTGAAAGACTGTCTGATAGAAAGACCCAGAGGGGCGCCTGGGTGGCTCAGTCAGTTGAGCGTCCGACTTCGGCTCAGGTCATGATCGCATGGTTTGTGGGTTCGAGCCCCGTGTCGGGTCCTGTGCTGACAGCTCAGAGCCTGGAGCCTGCTTCGGATTCCGTGTCTCCCTCTGCCTCTGCCCCTCCCCAGCTTGTGCTCTCTCTGTGTCTCAAAAGTAAACGTTAAAAAAAAATTTTTTTAAGAGAGACCCAGAAATGGACAACTAGCAGGAGACATGGGGGTAAAACATTTTTCTCCTCCTTGAGGCAAAGACTTCAGGTTGCAGTTGAGTCAGGGGCTGGAGGGAAGAGAATGCTGTGTGGTTAGCAAGAACGGCCCTGGTTATATTGTCCTCTAACAAGGCCACAGTCTGAGGATCGCACGCGGGGTCCAAGTCCCAGAGGGGATGGACTCTTGAGAGACTGGGACGTCCTGGAACCACATCATTTACTGGGCATGTGTATCAGTTCACAAGTCACCAACAGCTGCCTCTTCAGGGTGTTGTCTCTGTGTTGCAGGTCTCCGCATATCCTTTGCCAGAACACCGCAGCACGGCCCTGGCCACTCAGGCCGCCATGCTGTACGTGACCCTCTACTTTGAACCTGCCATTCTTCACACCCATCAAGCGAAAATGAGAGAGATTGTGGACAAGTACTTTCCAGACAACTGGGCAAGTATCACCATTAGTCTTTTTGTCCTCTGGAATAATCCTGTTAGGGAACCAACTCTGCGTTCTTTTGGCCTTTAGCCCAGAGATCAGAATGTTGTAAACGAGACATTAAGTCACATTGGCGAAACTACTCTAAGTGTGTGGAGAATCTCCTGAATCATGACATGAGGGAGTAAGTCAGTAAAACTTGGTGAAGAGCCCATGGGTTTGTTTTTTCTCTCTTAAATGGATACTCTGAAGGTAAAACCCTATATTGAAATGTTCTCGCTTTAGCTGCTGAATTGGAACTGTTTCACATGCAGTGAAACATACTTTCTTCTTTTCTATTTTATGAATCTAAGCTTGCAAAATTAATCTGTTACTTTACGAATAGGAGTGTTACTTTAATAATAAGTTTTATCTATCTGTAAGCTAACGTTGATGGGGCTGTTAAACTTTATATTATTGCAGAGACGTGCTTGTGACTTTTTAACATTGTGTCACTCAAAACTCAATTCTTTTAAAAAAAATTTTTTTTAATGTTCATGTATTTTTGAGAGAGAGACATAGAGTGTGAGCAGGGGAGGGTCAGAAAGAGAGGGAGACACAGAATCAGAAACAGGGTCCAGGCTCCGAGCTGTCAGCACAGAGCCCGATGCGGGGCTCGAACTCACGAACTGCCAGATCATGACCTGAGCTGAAGTGGGACGCTTAACCTACTGAGCCACCCAGGTGCCCCAAAACTCAAATCTTAAAAACATAAGGCTGACTTGACGTACTCAGTGTAGATGAGATGTTCTCCTTGTACGTAGAGGTTTTGATAAAGTACAGTGAATTGGATCCTGGTCTCAGGGAACAGATTCTGTTTCACTTCTTATCAGTCATTGAATCACAGACTGTGATTAGGGAGCCTGCAGTGAGATGTGATGCTTCCTACCCACGAACGCATCCTGCTTATAAGCTAGGAGCTGAGCAAACAGAAGGAAAACTCTGATAATCTGGTTTCATTTGCTAAGCATAATAAAGAGTTTCGACCATAGTGCTACAATGAGAAACAGTAACACATTTAGTGTTAAGGAAGGTCAAAACCCACTTATGTGAAGCTTACAAGAGACCCTCCTGAAAAACACCCCTGACATGCTAAAAATGAAAGAATTTAAAAAGCGAGTGAGATGCCAGGCAAATGCCACCCAGTAAAAATCCAGTAAGAAAATAGTTACGTCACACCATAGAGACCTTTAAAGAAAAACCTGCGTAGGGATAAAGAGGGATCATGTATGATATTAAAAAGAATAATCCAGGGTGCTTGGGTGGCTCACTTGGTTAAGCGTCTGAGTCTTCAGCTTGGGCTCAGGTCATGATCTCACGGTTTCATGACTTCAGGCCCCACATCAGGCTCTGCGCTGGTGGTACAGAGCCTGCTTGGGATTCTCTCTTTCCCTCTCTCTCTACTCCTCCACTTCCCATGCTGTCTCTCTCTCTCTCAAAATTAATAAATAAACTTAATAAAATTTTTAGGAAAGAATAATGCAAGGTAAATTCATACCCAGTGACATACTCAAAATACATAAAGCAAAAACTCAAAATAACCTATAAAAGTTGAGAAAACCATAATCATGATGGGAAATTTTAATATACCTCTTTCTGTACATAATCCTGCTCTCCCAAAAATACACGATAGATGTTCTGTGTGTATTTGAAAGGATACATATACAAGTTGGGTAACATTAGATCACAAAGTTAAGAAAGCTTTAAAAAACGATGTTAGTCTACAGACTGTATTCTCTTACTGTAACTCAATTAAATTAGAAACCAACACTTAAAAGATATTTTTAAATGTTTAGAAAAAACTAACTTTTGTGTTCAGGAGGAAATCACAATATAAATGAAGAAATATCAAAACACTACAAAGCGAAGCTTACGAGAATGACTAAAAACTGTTCTTAGAAGTAAATGTTGGCGCGCCTGGGTGGCTCAGTCTGTTAAGCGTACGACTTGAGCTCAGGTCATGATCTCGTGGTTTGTGGGTTTGAGCCCCGCATCAGGCTCTGTGCTGACAGCTCAGAACCTGGAGCCCACTTCAGATACTGCGTCTCCCTCTCTCTCTGCCCCTTCTCCCACTTGCACTCTGTCTCTCTCTCTCTCAAAAATAAACGTTTAACAAAAAACCAAAAGATCAATACCACAAAGGCTGGTTTTTTGAAGAGTAATAAAAAGATATTTTGCAACGCTGATCAGAGAGAGGGAGAAGGCAAGTTTAAATATGTGAAGATTGAAAAAGCAGACCCGAGATACAATAAAGAAGTTTTGAAGTTATCAGAAGGCCTATGAACAACTTTATGCCGATATATTGGAAGACTCTGAAAAATGGAAAATTCTCTCAAAAATAGAACGACTAGATCTGATTCGAGAAGAAAAGGGAAGCATGACAAGCCCAGTGACTGTTGAAGAAATGGAGCTGGGGATCCGCCTCCCTGCTCAGGCACTCGCACCAAAAAGAGCACCCCCAGGATCGCAGGATTTCACAGGCAACCCTGAGCAAAGCTTCAAGGGACAAATAATCGCAATTTTATACAGACTCAAGTGGGTAGGTGAGGAACCCCAAAAGGAACACTTTGTTTCCTTTACTCGAAGGATTCTCAAGTGAACTGGGGAGCCCTAGGGGTCCCCAAGGCTCATTCAAGGGGTCCGTGAGGTAGAAACAGAGTGAAGTGCTCTGTGCCTTGCCCTGTCCCCCTTTGCCAAGTCCACACGGCACTCCCAGGGGCCCCGAGGCAGGCGGCGCGGGAGACCCACTGCGGAATCCGGATCCAAGCCCAGCTGTCTTCGGTCAGGCCAGATGCTGCAGAGACTCGAAGAAACCGAAAGGCGATGCCACGCGTCTCACAAAACTTTTTGGGAAAGCCTTTAGTCTGATTTTTTTTTTTTTTAATTAAAAACAGTTTTGTGTTAGCATGTAATGGGTGTACTATTTTTTTTTCAACGTTTTATTTATTTTTGGGACAGAGAGAGACAGAGCATGAATGGGGGAGGGGCAGAGAGAGAGGGAGACACAGAATCGGAAACAGGCTCCAGGCTCTGAGCCATCAGCCCAGAGCCTGACACGGGGCTCGAACTCACGGACCGAGAGATCGTGACCTGGCTGAAGTCGGACGCTTAACCGACTGCGCCACCCAGGCGCCCCGTAATGGGTGTACTATTACATGAAGTGAATTAATAAGTAATTTTTGAAATGTCTCGATTGTGATGTGTAATAGGATAAGGATCAATAGATAGAACCCCATTTGAGGGGCGCCTGGGTGGCGCAGTCGGTTAAGCGTCCGACTTCAGCCAGGTCACGATCTCGCGGTCCGGGAGTTCGAGCCCCGCGTCAGGCTCTGGGCTGATGGCTCAGAGCCTGGAGCCTGTTTCCGATTCTGTGTCTCCCTCTCTCTCTGCCCCTCCCCTGTTCATGCTCTGTCTCTCTGTCCCAAAAATAAATAAACGTTGAAAAAAAAAAAAAAAAGATAGAACCCCATTTGAAAAAAACACAAAAAGTCCTTGGGCGTTTTCAGTAACTTTGAGTTGCGTAAAAGCTGAGGTGAAAATGTTTGAGAATGCCACTGTTCAGTCAGTCTGCTTTTCTGTCAACCCTGATTTAGTCGTTTTCCCATAAATGGCTTTTGTAGCCCTTGTTCCAAAGTGCTCCTAAGAAAATGCTTACCTATATCTTTGGCAAATCGGGGTTTTTCATTGCAGTGGAATTTGAACCAGAGGGAGTGGGCAGTGTTTTCTGTAACTCTGCCTCCAGACGAGTAGGTATTTAACACACTGGATGAATGTGTCCTCTTTCAGGTAATTAGTATTTACATGGGGATCACAGTTAATCTAGCAGATGCTTGGGATCCTTACAAAGCTGCAAAAACTGCTTTAAACAATACTCTGGACCTTTCGAACGTCAGAGAACAGGTAGGTGCTGGCCAACGGAGAAGGATTCCGTCACAGCTACAAGCCTGCTTTATGGCGTGGGAAATGAGTAGAGTTCCCAGGGAATTTGGAAAATGTCCACGTAGACATTTTAGTGCAGTGACGAATGAAAGGTGAATTTTGCGCATCCTAATAAGATAGGTAACGATAGATTTTGTAACTTATGTGGTATATGTAAAGGGGAGGCTTGGGTCTTAAGATTCAGCGTCCTAAGACAAATCGGTATGTCACATGGCCCCAGCTGCCTTTGTTTATTCTTGTCGATGTGGATGGAATGGCTTTCACGGGTAGCTGGAATTTTAGTGTTTTCATTGGTAGGATGCATGCTGAGGATGGTAACTGAGCATACGCAATACGCCCTGTCACTGTAATTTCTATTTATGTTTTAAATTTATTTAATTTATTTTAATTTTTTGGTGCAAGAAGGTGTTTTTATTAAAGCACGGGGACAGGACCTGTAAGCAGAAAGAGCTGCCCCGTCACTGTAATTTAAATTTATCATTTCTGATGTATGAAACCAGCAAGAAGACTGAAGACCTTCCTCTCCTTAAAGTTTATGCTTACAGTCTATCTCTTTTTTAAGAGCACAAGGCAGGAGGAAATTCCTAAGTAAACAGAGCCATAAAAATCTTTTTTTGGGCAGTATCCTTGACATTTCTAAGTTATCTTCCTCAGCCTGGCTGTCTGAGTTCTTGAGTTTCCGGGGCAGATAGAACGACATTGAGTCCAAGAACTTCAGCATGTTTTATTCAAGTAAATTACATTCCATAAATAATGCATAAAATAATTTCAACTTCATGTCTCCTGGAAATATACTAGAGAAAGTGATGCTTCTGATGCTTACTGGCATCAGAGCATTAATTTTTTCATTACTATAATTAGTTTCCAAAATTGCCTTTTCTCTCTGGTGCCATTTTAAGAAGATTTCAGACCTGTCTGATGAAACACCTTGTGGTACTTTTAAAGTAACCTGATGAGGTTGATGATGTTTAACATGTAACTCTTGCTTCAGAGAAAGTAGAATGACCCAAATCCCCAAAGGCTGGTTTGAAAATTCACTGGATTGAAAAATACACAGAGGTGTATTTTTGTTGTGCTCTCGTCTGCCTGTAGAAGCCTCTTCTTCTGGATATTTCTGCCCTGCCTCCTTTGTCAAGAATCATGGGAAGAATAGACAGTTGAGCCTATGTTTCTTTTCTATCCAAGTTGAGAACAGAAGGGGCCCTGGGAACCACTGGATACAGTTCTTTAGTTGACATTTGAAGAAACCAGGAGGGAGAGGTTAACCCCAAAGTCAAACCAATATCTAATCATAGCTAGAGGTAGGAGGTAGGATTCTCTGGGTTCTGAGTCCAATGCTCTTTTCAAAAGTGTCCGACGGGGTGTCTGGGTGACTCAGTTAAGTGTCCGACTTCAGCTCAGGTCATGATCTCACAGTTTGTGAGTTCAAGCCCCGCATCGGGCTCTGTGCTGATGGCTCAGAGCCTGGAGTCTGCCTCGGATTCTGTGTCTCCCTCTCTCTCTGCCCCTCTCCCCTCACGCTCTGTCTCTCTCTCCTAAAAAATAAACATTAAGAAAAAAAATGTCCAACAAACCACTTGCCTCTGAGTCTTACCAACTATGGTCCACATATTATTCACCTCCTGTAGAAATGTTATTACTTGTCAATGGGTTCATCTGTATGGGATTCATTTTCTAGGAAAGTAATTTTCTCTTTTTGAAAATGTAATTCAGGCTTTTTCTTTTTCGAAGTCAAGCAGATACGCTACCGTCAGTGAAAGAGTGCACACTCAAGTGCAACAATTTCTGAAAGAAGGGTATTTAAGGGAGGAGATGGTTCTGGACAATATCCCAAGGCTCCTGAACTGCCTGAGAGACTGTAACGTGGCCATCCGATGGCTGATGCTTCACACAGCAGATTCAGGTAATGGGCGAAAGGTGTGCCCATCTGTATGGCTCCACTTAAAGGCTTTCAGAGCTAAGATATGCCCCGCGGTGCAAAAATTGTTTAGCCTTTGGATGAGAATCAAGTGGCTTTTTAAGTTAGTCGTTTTTGTGTCTACTTGGACAAGTCAACAGCTCACCTGAATAGGCCCCTTTGTCAGGTTTGATTATCCGGGATTATCCCAGTAGGTCCAGTATAATCACGAGGGTCCTTAAATCGGGAAGAGGGAGGCGGAAGAGTCAAAACTAGAGAGGTGGAATCATGAAAAAGCCTCAACAGACCATTCCTGGCTTTAAAGATGGGAGGGGCTACAAGCCATGGAATATGGTGGCCTCTAGATGCTGAAAAAGATAAGGAAACAGGATTTCCCCAGAGCCTCCAGAAGGAGCCTGCAGAAGAAGCATAGGCCTGCTGCCTCCTTGATTTTAGCCCAGTGACACCCATTTCAGATTTCTCCTCTCTGGAGCTGTAAGAGAATACGTTTGTGTCCTTTTAAGCCATTACGTTTATGGTAATTTGTTACAGCAGGAAACTAATAGAAGAGCCAAGCCAGTAAATAAGAGCCAGATGTGTAAAACAGACACTTAGTGGGATTTCGTCCAGAGCAGGAGAGAAATGTTGCTTGGGGTAGTGGGTGAAGGTGGCTGGGGAAGGCTCCATACAGGAGGCAGGAAGGATTCTGAAGTAAAAAGAAGTTCTAGACTGGAGAAATGATGGGGGGTGGGGGGGAAGGTACGATTTTGGAAGTACAGGAAACCATGGGCCCACAGAGTTGCTAAACAGGCTGAACCTGAGTGCCTCATAAAGGTAGATCAGGTCTAACCTTTTCTGGCCCACAGTCCTCTTGGAGACGCTATTGGCCATCAAGTTCAGTTGCTTCACAGGTTGTATGAAATGCCTTCACAGGGTCTGTGAGCCTATGACTTAAGAAGCTCCCGATTTAATGAAAAAACAAGTAGGTTGGGCTAACCTGAGCTTGTTCAGAGCTGACACAGTTCCTTGGACTCAGTGAAGGCTGGATCAGTGTTAGTTAACCAATGGCTTCCCCCACCCAGAGCTGCGTGCCCTTCCCGCTAAGCGTGGCTGTCATCCAGCGGCCCCGTGAAGCCTCCTGCTTTTTGGTTTTGTCAACAAACTTTGCTGGAGAGCCACCCTGAGACAGGTACTGCCTTCAACACGTGTTCTTTCAGATAAGGCAGTATCTCAAAGTAAACTGTCCACTCCAGATTATTCTGCAGCCTCCCCTGGTAACACAGAGCCCGTCTCACAGCTCTTCCAGGCAAGATGTTCTTTCCTCTAGCTTCCATCTGGTCCCACTTCCTGTGGGTGCTAGGCAGCGAAAACAGCAGGGGGACGACTTCATCCTTTGTATCCTTGGAAATATGTGCAGTTTGTCCTCAGCTTTCTGTCTTCATCCTGGAAATCTCTTTCTCGAAAAATGCTGCTTTCCAGTTTTGGGTTTTGTTTTTTGTTTTTTTTTTTCATTTGGCTTCTTTGCCTCGATCCCTCTCCAGTTTACGTTCGCTCACAGCATGAGCACCGTGGCCGAGGTTTAATCGTCCAATGGATCTGGTGTTGGTTAGTCGCGTTTAGTCAGTCCATAAACTCCAGTTCTAATTTGAGGATTTTACCACACTGACTCAGTTTATAATCTTTACCAAAGTCTTCCATTCTCAAGCACATGAACAACTCAGGCCCTCGCTTTATCGTATCATAAAACCAACTGTGGTTTTCCAGTGACTCAGCCTCCTCCTCACCTTCCCTGTGAGCCAGGAGTCTCCTGGATTTGGACCCTTCCAGGGACAACCTCGTCTTGCCAGTGGTCTGGGCACTTACCTTCAGCCACGTCTGTTTCCCATTTTTGTGCCTGGCAATTGTCTGACCTGATTGCACAAGGTCACGATTTACCAGAAACAAGTGATTTACCTGATTGTGAGTCATGCGTGGGAAAGATAAGTGCTTATTTAGTTTCTGTGGTGTTCGGGTCATGATGTGCAGGAAGGAGTGCATATATTCTTTACATTCCCTCCTGTTGGCCTCCTGGAGGCACTTCCCCCAGGCTTTGGAACCCCGTTCTGCAGCTTGCTTTTTCTCATTCAACAGCATATCATGGATGACATTCCACGTCAGAGCCAACTGTCGTGTTCAAAAGTTTGGTTGTACTTAACTTCATGGTGTAGATCTACTGTAATTGATTTTATCACGCATTATTGATTCTCATCTTGCTTTTTTAAATGCTCCAAATGAGTGAAAATGGAGGCACGTTTTTAACAATTCATCTTAGATTTCGTATTTTCTGCACAGCGAATAAATTGGGAACTCTTTTCTTCCTGTTTCTAGCTTATGACCCAAACAACAAACGCCTTCGTCAAATCAAGGACCAGATTCTAACAGACTCTAGATACAATCCCAAGATCCTCTTTCAGTTGCTGTTGGACACTGCACAATTTGAGTTTATACTCAAAGAGGTAACGATCTTTAATGAATAATCACCAACATCTTAGTTTTTCTGTGCTTAAAAATATTTTTAAAGGGTTGAGATTCAATAACGAGTCGTAGTCTTTGATTCAGGCTACAGATTCTGGCAGTCTGAGATCGTTCTTATACTAAAAGGACAGGATTAAACATTTAACAGCATTTAGTGCCTACTGCCATTGGGGATACAGTGATGGGGAAAATTGCACAGGACCATGGAGGTGACAGTCTAGTGAGGAATGTGGACATTAATCAGAGAATCGCACTAATGAAAACGTAAATACAAACTGAGATACGTGCTCTAAGGGAAAGGAACATTGTTCTCTGAGTACCTAAAATCCCTGAGAAGAGAAGCAGGAGCTTCTGAAGGGACCTGAAGAAGGAACCTGTCGGAGTTAGCTAAGACAAAGGTCGGGAGCATTCTGGAGACCATTGCAGAGAGAGGACAGAATATGCCCGAGTCCTCTTGGGTAGGGAACAGCATGACCAGTTCAAGGACCAGAAAGAACAGTTGGCTAGAGGGGAGAGAATGAGATAAAAGTGATATGAGATGAGGTCAAAAGGTGGGCATGTAGGCCTTGTAGGATTTCAGTCTTCATCTGCAAAGCCATGAGAACCTGTTAGAAAGGGCTTTTAAGTAGGGTGGATGGGGGCGCCTGGGTGGCGCAGTCGGTTAAGCGTCCGACTTCAGCCAGGTCACGATCTCGCGGTCCGTGAGTTCGAGCCCCGCGTCGGGCTCTGGGCTGATGGCTCAGAGCCTGGAGCCTGTTTCCGATTCTGTGTCTCCCTCTCTCTCTGCCCCTCCCCCGTTCATGCGCTGTCTCTCTCTCTGTCCCAAAAAATAAATAAACGTTGAAAAAAAAAAATTAAAAAAAAAAAAAAAAAGTAGGGTGGATGATTTGTGTTTAAACAAGGTCCACTCAAGGATTTTAAGGATTTTGAGCTCCCTGAAGGAAATTCTAAGGTTGATTGGTCTTATGCCTAAAAGAGCCTCTGTGGGCATAATAAAAATGGTTGATACCCAGGAGTGCCTGGGTTCTATAACCAGTAGCCTTGGCGGTTCGGATCAGGTGGGCCCAGGAGCTAGCCGTGGACGTTAAGGCCCATTCCAAACTGATATTCTCCTTGCCTCAGTCTGGTTAGCGGTCTGCCGGTTTTTTCTTTATCTTCTAGGTGTGCGAGGACACTGTGTTCCCCTGTTCAGTAGCTAAGGAAAAGTACATGCTGATTATTAACATCATGCACATGCGTGTGTTGAGTGTTATTCAGTAACCTGTCTCGGTATAATTTTGTAAGATCAGAGAAACGCTACCCCTTTTTGATCTCTTTAAGAATGTTCATGTTTTCTCTCTCAACAGCAAGTCATTATTGAATACCTGCTCTGTTCCCAGCTAGGTGCTAGGAATTCAAAAATGAACAAGGCATGTCCCTCCCATCCAGGAGCTCTCAGTACAGTGGGGAAGAGAGACAGATTAAGCCAAAATGAGAGACCAAGAAAGATCCAAGAGCAGGAACCAGGCATCTTATTTGTTGGTCAAAGCAAACTTCAGAGGCAAGTGAGAGTCACCCCAAGGAATCAGTGCACTCCATCCAGTTAGGATCCTGAAGCAGGACGCCAGTCACCCAAGAGTTCTGTAGTGTGGGAATTGTTGTGTGGGAATCAGGACAGATCTGGGTCATCTGCCCGACCACGCCTGCATTTCTAATCGTTAATCTTTTTCTGGAATCTGTTGGAATAGAATGGGCAGCTTCCTTCTGTCTGTTCTATTGGAGAGAAAAGAAGACCAACTCATTAAAGATCTTCAAAAGAGAAGGATCTGGTAGAAAGATAAAAATAACTGCCCAATACAAATTGAGCAAAACCAAGATATATTTAATGTCTGACATTTCAGCTCGGTTCTTTAACCTTTATCTCTATCTCTCCCACCTCCCATCCCAACCCTTTTTCTAGAATCACCTTCTGATTCTCTTAGAAACACACTAATTAGACCTGTGTTTCTTCTAATCTTTTGATGAAGGCGCATCTCTTAACTTGAGAACCATCCCCTATCCCAAATTCCATCTTACCAGATATGAAACCTGTGAGGTCAACCTGGGAATGAGTGTCTGAAGTTGTTTCAAGCTATTAGGTCTGTAATGAAGGCCTCACAGTGTTATTTTTGTTACTGCTGCTTCGTGAAATGGCATTGATCGGTCCTAGGCATTCAAAAAGACAGATGGACTCTATAAATAATTCCTACTGTTCCTCACCCTGCCTGAGCACTAAGATTCCTCTTTCTCTGGCCCCACAAAATTCCACCAATCTTTATCCTTTCATCTACAATGAAGTCTTCATCTTTTAACATTCAGTTCGATGCTGAGGAATGAAGAATTTCTTAAGAGAAAAATCAGTATATTCTCATATTTACCTCTTAGGATCCCAGTGAAATAAATCCCTGTAGTTTTGCGACACACTTTAAATAGGTTTTTAAAATTTGTTTCAAGGGGGGAAAAAAGCAAAACCTTGAGTTATACCATTTCCTCCTCTGCTCAACTCTTTACAGGCCTTTAATTTTATGAAGGAGTGAATTAATAAACAGACTTACTGTGTGATCCAGAAGAAAAGATTTTTGTGGGTAATTTAATTCATTATCCACTCATCAGACAAGGATCATGCTCAGCCTTCCCTGACCTATTTTAAATAGATGCAACCACAGAAATTATTACTTGCAAAGGACCTTTGAGCAGTGGCCACCAAATTTAATTTCACATTAAAAATGCTGGTTCCTGGGTCTACCCAAGACCTTTTGAACCAGAATCTTCATGGGGGAGCTTGAGAATCCCAACACTTGAAAGCCATCCAGATGATGAGACGATGCTTATGTGCAGTTGGTCTGAAAACCAATGCAGTGGTCTAGCTTTGCCCCTCAATTTGTACAAAGTAGTGCAGCTTAAGAGATGACGTCAGGGGTAATGTTACTTTTAGATACATATTTTTATAATAAATTGGGTTTCACTCAGGGCTTTCTTTGTAAACTGCCTTATTTGGATTTCCTCTTAAGTAAGTAAATCTCTTCTGTCTCTTTCAACAGATGTTCAAGCAAATGCTTTCAGAAAAGCAAGCCAAATGGGAGCATTACAAGAAGGAGGGCTCAGAGCGGATGACGGAGCTTGCTGATGTCTTTTCGGGAGTGAAACCCCTAACCCGTGTGGAGAAAAATGGTAATTGCTAAAGAGGAAATATCATTGTGTTTGAAATGTACACACGAATTCTTGGAAACACACAGAGTAAAAACTCAACCACATTGTCATCATTGTATGCTAGGACATTGCTGATGAACGTCTAAAGCCTAGTCTTAGCTGCCTCTAGCTTTGGGCTCCTTTTGGCAATGTTCATATCTTCTCTGGACTTGGGGCTTCTTATTTTTGAAGTATGAGGTTAGGCTACAGGGGTTGTTATACTCTGACTCATAGTCCGTAGGTCCATAATTCATCCCCCAGCCTCACCATAGTGTGTCAGCTTATGTGCATTTGCAGGGAGGAAGAGAAGGACCTATAACTGTCCTGATCATCTCAGGATACTTCACTCAAGAATAGTACTAACTACTGGGGCACCTGGGTGCCTCAGTTGGTTAAGCGCCCAACTCTTGATTTTAGCTCAGGTCGTGATCTCACGGTTCGTGAGTTTGAGCCCCGCATTGGGCTCCATGCTGGTGGTGTGGAGCCTGTTTGAGATTCTCTCTTTCCCTCTCTGCCCCTCCCCGGCTCGTGCTTTCTCTCTCTCTCTCTCTCTCTCTCTCTCTCCAAAATAAAATAAATAAACATTAAAAAAAAAAAGAATATTACTAACTACTAACATAGGGGTGCCTGAGTAACTCAGTCAGTTGAGTGTCCGACTCGTGATTTCGGCTCAAGTCATGGTCATGATTCATGAGATTGGAGCCCTGCATCAGGCTGTGCACTGACAGCACGAAGCCTGCCTGAGATTCTCTTTCTCCCTCTCTCTCTTCCCCTCCTGCATGTGCACACATATTCTCTCTCTCTCAAAAATAAATAAACATTGAAATAAACAAATAAAATCTTTAATAAAAGAATATTAGTAACTGCTAACATAGATGGTATCCAGGAATCTTGTCTTCTCATGTTTTCTGCTTTTTTTTCCCCTCATGCGCCTGCCATCTAGTGGCAGAAGAGGGGACATGCAGACTTTTCGAAACAACACGGCTCAAGCCTTAACGTTAATCATATTAATCCTGCTTCTTTTAGGAAATTTTATCTGTGGGAAAATCATGGTATCACTTAAAATTTTTATATAGATAGAAACCCTTCAAAGTGCCCCTGAATGACCATTCTGAATTTTAAGATGAGAAGCTATTT